CACCAACTCTGAAAACCAACTAACTTTAAATATGTTGCCATCCCTGAACTCCACAAATGTCAAACTGCTTGTCATTGGCAAGGCAAAAAGTCTAAAAAGAAAGGTTGGAAAAACCACGACCCTAAAAATTGCTCTTGTGAAAAAAAGCATGATTGTCTGCGTAATTGGCATATTCATATGCTCTGCACTGACTTCCTACCTGCTAAATATCAGCACCCCCGTTGTGGATTAGGAAAATATGACGACCAAGGTTCTCCGTCTGGTTGCTGGGACCATCGGGCCTACATAGCCCATGATATCTGACCTTATGGATTAGTAGATATTAAACGAGTTAGTCATTTAAAAGTTAACGGCCGCCCTATTAAAAGTGCCGAGCAAGTGGTAATTTACCTTGCTAAATATTTAGCCAAAGCCTTTAAAATGCGTCAAGACCCAGAATTAGCGAAAAAAGTAGGCTTATTAAAAGGGATGAGTATCTACAAGTTTTTTAGAGTAATTTATGGCTATGACGAGGCGGGCAGGGCTTACATTGCCGATAAAGTGAAAAAGCCCCTCACTTCCTCCAAAGTCTTTATCAATAATGAGTATGGTTTTCAGCAAGAAGTAGAACAAGAATTTAGCCCTTATTTTGACGAGAAAGGGCATTTAAAAAAAGATGCTCGAAAAATCTTACAAAAAAAAGAACCGCAACCAACCAATAACGGCAAAATTACGGACCTCTTAAAATTATGTTTGCGTTATTCTACTAAAAGTAAAATCAAACAAAACCAATTCTGAAAGCCCTGTGATACTAGTGAGGAAGGCACTTGAAAAAAAGGCCAAGGTTGGAAAATTCAATGCCCTATAACCAAGAGCCACCACACCGAGCCAATTATCAGGTGAGAGTTCAGTTTTAACGGTAAAAGGGCTTATTCTGATTATCAGAAGTATATTTTACCTAATTTATCCCGGATAAAATTACCGGCTTTTACTAAATTCCAAGATTACTCACCGCAAGACACAGATTTCATTAAGTTCGCCCATGCGGCTAAACTGCCGTGAAATAAAAGGATAAATGAATATGAACCCTTGGAGGAGATTGGAGAAAGTGCTGACAGTCAAGCCTGGCGCGATAGTGTTCCCACTGAATTAATTTACAATCACATTTATTTAAAAGAGATTAGAAGTCAAATTAGTGGTTATTCTTGGTCGGGCTTGGCTGCGGATGATGCCATTAAGAGATATGCGGATTATTAAGGGTTTTTTTGTTAATTTTTCCCCCTTCGCAAGATAAATGAGAAATTGACTAATGATAATGAACTTATCCGAGTTTAGGCGTTAGTCGCTTCCGCTGACCACACTGCGTAAAACGGGTCTAAAAAGCGGCACTATTTATTATGTTAGACCAAATAAAAGAAGCCGTAGCAGCAGGTTGAAGTTTGTTATTTGGTGCCAAAACCACAGACAAAGATGATGCGGGAGTAGTAGTTCGGTTTTTAGGCTTTTTACAAGCCAATCCGATTTTCCTACTTCCGTTAGGTCTTTATCTGATAGTTCTAGGCATCAAAACCACCTCGCTGATAAGGGGCCATATTACTACTTCATTCCTCGGCTAATTTTATATCCTCGTAAATTTCTAATC